GCACCAACTTTCATTTATCTCTCTCTTCAAGAGACAATTGTTGATGGTCAGCTGCAAAAAAAAAAAAAAGAAAAGAAAAGAAAAGAAAAGAAAAGACATTTGCTGAGTGCTTTTTTTGTGCATGTGAGACTCAGGGAGAATTTTGTGCTGTGTTCCAAGAAGACACCCATCAGAGTTGGCAAATCCACATATCTCTGGCCAGCAGGAAGACCGTGCTTTTCCTCAGTGGAGTTCTGGTGTCTAACAGTCTCCACTCTCCTCTAAACTCATGAGTCAGTAGTTTGAAAGGGAAGCAAATTTGCAAGAATGACGGTACAATGTCCAAGAGATAGTGTTAAGTGGAAAAAGCAATTGCAGAAAAATATGTATAGTGTGATTATATTTCTTTTTCTTTTCTTTTCTTTTTTTTAGTGTGATTATATTTCTACAAGTACTTTATTTATTTATTTATTTATTTCCTTTTTGTCTTTTTTTTTCCTTTTTTTTTTTGTCTTTTTCCGTGTCCGGCAACGGATCGCAACCCTCAGTGTCGCCCCCGTACCGGACCGGGACCGGCAACGGGATCGCAACCCTCGGTGTTGCTCCCGCGCCTCGCTCAGCCAGTGAGCGGGAACCGGTCTGTATGTGGGATCCGAACCCTCGGCGGGAGCGCCGCCGCGCTTCCCAAGTGGTGCACTATAGCAGTGTGCCACCGGGCCGGCCCTCCTTTTTGTCTTTTTTACTGACCGGTAACGGGATCGCAACCCTCGGTGTTGCACCCGCACCGCGCTCAGCCAGTGAGCGGGAACCGGTCTCCACATGGGATCCGAACCCTCGGCGGGAGCGCCGCCGCGCTCTCAAGCGGCGCACTCTCCAGTGCGCCACCGGGCCGGCCCTCTACAAGTACTTTAGAACAAAACCTGGAGAAAATATACACCAGACTGTTCATGGTATTTTTGTTCTGGGTTGTTAGGTTAATGCGGAATTTTCACTTTCTCACACATTTTTGCAAAGTTTGAAATGTTTGCGCCATGCACTTTTTTTGGTAACAGGAAAAACGATGAGTAAAACAAGCCAAAACAAGATGCACAGGATTCAAAGAGTCTTCACCAAATGTCCACATAAGACTCTAAACTCATATCTGAGATAATCGGTGTTGATGATGACACTTGCCTTCCTTGCTAATTTGTAAACTCCACAAAATCAGGACCCTGATTGCCTTAGATACTTCTGTAGCCCCAGAATTCAGAGAAAGTGATGTGCTAGGCCAGGGATCAACAAACTATAAAAGATAGTAAATATTTTAGGCTTCGGAGTTCAAGGTGCATAATCAAAGATATGTAGGTATTTACATGACAAGAGAAAACCAATTTCCATACATTTTTGATTAATGAAATTTAGAATATAATAATGGAGAATTTTTTTTTTTTAAAAGATGACTGGTAAGGGGATTTCAACCCTTGACTTGGTGTTGTCAGCACCACGCTCAGCCAGTGAGCCAACCGGTCATCCCTATATGGGATCCGAACCCGTGGCCTTGGTGTTATCAGCACCGCACTCTCCCGAGTGCACCACAGGGCCGGCCCTGGAGAATTTTTTTTTTTGTAATACAGGGCTATTAATGAGAAGAATGAAATTCTTTGGGTGGGGGGATAACATTTTGCTTAATTGAGGTTCAAAGATAGTGTTCTATACCATCAGAACTAGTTGCAACTGTCTGATTTTTTTTTTTAACCATTTAAAAATGTAAAAGCTATTTTATGCCCACATGCCATATGAGGCAGCAGATCAGGCTGGGCTCCCAGGTACAGTTCGCTGGTCCCTCTGCTAGGCAACCAGTACATCTTTAGTTAAATGACTGAAAGGCGGAAGAAAGGAAGGTAAATTCTCCCTATCTGGGTATATCTGTCAATGGACACACCAGGCCTCTTGAGTGTTAGATGAGCAACTTTTTGGAGTTAAGAGGCAGTAATAACAACCTGCGTAACATTGGGGGAGGGACAAAGCACATCTGGAGGTAAATTGGCTTTGGAGAAGGAAGCGCTCTGTTGGCCACCCCGTGTGGGTGAGTTGCTCTGAAACACACACGTTCCTGGCAGAGCTCCACTTACAGAGGGGCCTGATGGAGTTCACTCTCTCAGGAGCAGGTTAAACACCGTCCCTCTTTCTACAGCTGGCTGTTCCTGGGTCTGCAGTCAGGGTGCCGTTCCGAGGATGTGCCGGGATGGTAAGGGTGAGCTGGGCAGGCCAGCAGTTAGAACAACAGCCCTGCGACCACTCCTCCCCACCCCACCCCTTCCCTTGGGTGACAGATCAGTGAGCCTAGGGCAGGAAAAGGAGGTCATCAAAGCATCCTCGGGCTCCTGCATTCCCACTCAGGGCCTATTTCACATAGGACCTGCCTGAAACTCAGGTCGCACTCCAGATCCCAGAGAAAATTAAAGCCCCAGAGCCAATCTCATTTGGATATGGAACTGCAGTTACCTTCGGAGGATCAAATGAGTCATAGGGAAGTGATTCCCCACTGCTCTTGGTTCTCTGAGACTAGGAAAGGGTGGGAGGAATATTTCCATTTCAGGGAGGCCCTAGGTCTGGCTCACTTCTGAGCCCAGCATGGCCAGCTGCACAGGGTGCTCTGCCTCTCGCTGAAGTGCTCCCAAAGGATGCAGAAGCTCTCACGTCAGCAAGCTCCTTGAAATGCAGTTAATTTGGGGAGCGTGGCTGCCACCTAGAAGAGTCAATAGGAGCAGAGCAAGGGCCAGCTGCAGAGCTGCTGGAGGCCTGCAGCCTGGCATGACTCCTCTGGGAGAGGCGGCCGCTGCGTGACCACCCCCAACCCCAGTGCACGGCCCACAGGCGCCCAGCGGCGGGGGCCAGGGCTTGGGCTCTGGACACTCTGGCTCTGCCACTTGCTCCAAACAGGTCCTCTGTGCCTCTATTGACTTATTTGCAAAAACAAATGACCTGGCAGGGTTATTGTGAGGTTTAATTAAAAATTAATATAATTACTTGGGACAATCGTTGAGCACAGTGTGAATATTCACTAAATGCTACTTACTAGCAGCATTAAGAGCAGTGACCTTTAGGGGGGACTTTGGAGAAAGACGAGGGCTAAATAAGGTCTGTCCTTGGTTCTGTAAGAGCAGCAACAGGACCCATGACAGTCATTCATAGCCCCATCCTTCTCTTTTCTTTTTTGGTGGCTGGCTGGTGTAGGGATCCAAGCCCTTGACCTTGGTGTTACAACACCTCACTCTGACCAACTGAGCCAACGGGCCAGCCTTTATTTTAGCCATGACCCCATCTTTCAATCCTCCCACTGAAATCGTTCTTGGAATCTGTTTTCAGCCCTCCCACCGCACACCCCTGCTAGAAGGAACCGTTCAACACCCGCGTCATTCCCTGCGGCCGAGGAAGTCAGAGACTGACTGCACAGTTTAGTCCAAGTGGTTTATTTCTCTTCCAGGTGAGGGTGCATGCGTATCAAGCAGAGGTATGCCCACCTGGCTCCTTCAGAAATCCCCCCCAGGAGTTTTAGTTTAGCTTACGTGCATTAAAAACAAGTCTTGAGTTCTGACGATGAAACGTTACGAAGCAACGCGCTGACACAGCAGAGTCCCCATCAAAGGTGTGTTCATAGAGTACGGTACGTACAGGTTACTGTAGGTGAGACACGGTGAGTCCCTGCTGCCCTGTGGCCCCATTCTGTTGTGGAGGCCTGGCTGGGAGCTGAGAACCACTCTGCTGTCAGTGTTTTGATGACAAGGTGGCTCTTCCAGAACAAAGACAGAGCCCTTGTCCCAAGCCAGGTCACCCCACACCCCTGCTTTGGTGTGCAAAGCCATGGGAGCTTCAGTGTTGTGCATTCTGGGTTTGCAGGAGGTTGGAAGCACCAAAGACCCTAACCCTGAATCCTCGGCGGGGCAGGATAATGGGTCATTATTTCCTCCTGGACAATGAGCTGCTTCTTGCTTAGTAAGTCAGGGGCCTGGGACACTGGGGTGGGACAGGTGGCGTGAGAGGACACAAGTGTAACACTTTGTTAAAACCTTTTATGACAGACTTGCCTGAAGACAAAGGGAGGGGACAGTTGACTCGGGCATCCAACTATTCCCCTAGAACAGGGGACTGTTCTCTGTTCCCTCAGCTTCTGCTCTTACCTCCCCCCCTCAGTGGGATGAATCCAGATCCCCATCAAGCAGCAGCTGGGGACAGGGTGGCTCACTGATCTTTATTTTATTTAAAAAATCCACTCCTCCCCCTCTCCTCCAGATCCATAAAGAACTGGCCAGTGCCAGTGAAATCTGAGGAACAGTGTAGTGGTATAAAAACCAGGGGTACGGAAAGAGCCCCAAATCTATTGTAAAAACTGGATGTGCTATGAGTTTCAATTCTTTGGATAATCGAAATGTGTACAACTAGAAAAAGAGTTAAAGTCACTTTCCAAGCATCTGTTCATACCTGAGACCGTCCCTATCTGCAGCTGACAAACTTGCAGCACTGGTGCTGGAACGGAGGTGGCAGCTGTCACCCACATTCCCACCTCGGGGCACCAGGCTTTGGTCCCCCAGCCCTGGTGCCATCAGCCTCCTGCTGCGGAGCTCTCTGAACACCTCCCCTCCGTCTGGGCCTGGGAACTCTGATTTGGACTGTTCAGGTCTCATCAGGGACATCACCTTAAAAGCATCTCCTGATCAGCCCTTGCTACTATGACCTGCAGGGAACTGGAGGGGAGAGGTGACTCAGAGAGCGGTCACCCAGGCTTTTGGCCATGTTAACAAGAGGCACAGTCCTGGTAGTGGGACCCGAGAGAACCTATAGGACGGTGTAGGGGTGAGCCGAACCAGGCATCCAGTTTCAGGATAGCTCCCGGGGGCATTTCTGGTGTGGAGAGAAGGGCAGAAAGGGACAGAGGCTGGCCCAGATTGGGGGTCTTCTGTCCACCTGGGGCTTTGGTTGGGAGTCTCAGCCACTCTTCCTCTGCAGCAGCAAGAGCCTGCCAGTGTCCCAGATGCCTTTGGTTTCTACTAAAGAATGCAGCTCGTATTTGCATTAATTAAAAACCAAAATGGAACAAGGAGGTAAGAACCCCTGAAAGTCTGTTAGGCTGGAAACTCACTCCCATACTGCCTCAGGTGCTCATCCGCCACGGACAGGTAGGTGGCCCGCATGCTGGGAGAGTACTGTGGGGAGAGGGGAGGGGACAGTCAGAGCAGGGTAAACCGGACATCGTACAAGCAAACGTTACGGGAACTTCTCAGTGAGTGAGAACCAGGCCAGCCACAGCAGCCAGGTACCAAGTTTTAATCACAAGGCATCGCAGGGGCTGGGTGATACCGAGCAGCTTGGGCAGGCTTCGAGTCTCCTGGTGCCTCCAGCTCACATCCCTCAGGACATCTGGCGCCCAGCCTCAAATGGGAAATGCAGAGACCAGCCATTCAACTGCCACATCCAGCGCACGCCACCAGCACCCAGCCCGTCACTTCACATCAGGAACAGCGACAGGGTGCACCAGTGCACGTACGACCAGCCAGCAGCAATTGGGCTGAGGTGCAGGCCCACAGACTCAGACAGCCAGGTCCATCCCACCTGTGCATCTTACTCACCCTGTGGCCTTGGCTGAGGTTCTCCAACCTCTCCTAGCCTCAGTTTCCCCACCTGCAAAATGGATCTAAGAGCACTAAGCTCTTACCTTGAAAGGATGAAATGATATAAAGTGGGCAAGACTCCTAACAGTGGTTCTCAAACTTGGCTGCACATCAGAAACACCTGGGGAGCTTAAAAAAAATCCTGATGCCCAGGCCACCCTCACTGGTGTACTTTTTTTATTGAGGTAAAATGCACATAATGTAAAATTAAGTATTTTAAAGTGCTACTAGTGTTTTTTTAGAGCTCTTCAGGCAATTACAATATGCAGCCAAGGCGGAGAGGCAGCGACCTGGCACCAAGTAAGTTTGCTCCACAGATCTCAGTAACTCCTCCTCCAAGCACAGACAGGGCTTCTCACACATCCTGTGCCCGCAAACCACCTCCAGATCTTGTCCATAGGTCCTGAGATTCTGCATTTCTTTTCTTTCTTTTGGAGGCTCGCAGGTACTGGAATCTGAACCCTTGACTTTGGTGTTATAACACCATGCTCTAACCAACTGAGTAACTGGCCAGCCCAGATTCTGCATTTCTAACAAGCTTCCAGATGCTGCTGGTCTGCTGACTGTGAGTAGTAAGGCCAGCAAGAGTTGGAGCTCCTAAAGAAAAATATCTGGACTGTCACCTGGCCCCAGGGAAGTGTCAGGCATCCAGGCCATTCACATCAGAGAGAGAGCTGAATGCTTCCACCTGGGGTGGGGTGGGAGAGGAAGCGGGCATGAAACCCTTAAACCCCAGGGGTCTCACCCAGGGGTGGTTTTGCCTCCCAGGCAAAACAATGTCTGGAGACATTCTGGTTGTCACACTGGGGGTGAGCGGTGGGATGTGACTGGCATCTAGTGGGGAGAGGCCAGGGATGCTGCTTGAGAGCCTACAGTACACAGTCCTGCAACACAGGATTCTGCCCGTCAACAGCGCCGAGATCGGGGACCCCTGCCTCTCAGCCCTGGTTCTGCACATGTGGTTTCCAGACCAGCGGCAGCTGCTTTACCCGGGAACAGGTCAGAAACACAGATCCCAGGGCTCCACCCCAGACTTTCTGAACCAGAAACAGGGTTGGCACAGTAGTTTTAACAAGTCTGTTAGGTGATTCTGAGGCACACACAAGAATGAGGCTCTCCTCCTTAAAGCAGCATTTCCCAAACTTGCTGGATGATAAGTCTGTTAAACTTAGAACCTCTCAGGCTCCTTCCCTGGGAGATTGTCTTTCTGTGAATCTGGAGAGAATTGTCAGTGTTGGTATTTTTAACAGTTGCTCCCGGTCACTTTTGTTCATCAAGTCTAGGAAACAGGGCCGGTTAGCTCAGGGTCCAGGGTTTGATCCCTGTACCAGCCAGCCACCAAAACCACAAAACAAAGCAAAGTCTAGGAAACAGTGCCTGGAAGGACAGGAGGGATTTCTTGAAGGCAGAGCTGGGGGAAGACACATTTCCAGCCAAGGGAACAGGCTGTACATTCCAGATCCCCTTGCTTGATATCAAGTGATATCCTGACAGTCCCAGAGAGGGAGGTCAGCAGAGAGAGGGAGTCACCCACACCTCACACTGGCTGAGTGCTGATGAGTGTTTAGAGCAGGCACCAGGAGGGTGGGGAGCAGCCAGCCAGGTTGTCTTTATTGGGGCAAAGGCCAAAAGCCTCTGTGCTGTGGTTTCTTTGCTCAAGAGCATCAACAGATGTCTCTTCACGACCTTTGCCTGGGCAGGGGGCAGGGGTAGGGGGCAGGGGGACTTCCCCGGAGAAGGATGAGCTGGGCAGGCCAGGCAGTCAACTTGCTAAAGCAAAGAGGGTTTCTGAGCAGGTCTTAATTCTAGGGAGGGAGGTTTATTCTGTCCTTGAGCCTTGCAAATAAGGTCAGCTCTTGATTATCTCTGCTAATGGCAGGGGGCGTGGCCTGATTTCAAAACAGAAGGTAATCTGAAGTCATTTTTATGCAGCATCACAATGCACTGAGTAATTCTTTTTTCACAGCCCCAAATTTCCCCTAATTATGTTTTGCTTAGATTAACATTAAAGTCATTCTGCATTCCTGGGGCCACCACAGCTGGTAGGAGGAAGAGGGGATCTCAGGAGGCTCCTGGTTTGTGAGAGAAGTCAGGGTGGGATTTAAAAGGTGCTGACTCTGAATTCAGGCTTCAATCAGCTCACTCTCCCTCCCCGAGGATCCCAGGAAGAAAGAACAAAATTAGACTGGGTCTCCGGCTGTTTGTAAAGGTGCTTAAAAGAACAGCAGGTGAGGTGCTCTTGGCAAAAACACCAAGGTGGGGGTCATGGGAGGGAGAGACTTTCTAGTGGGTAGAGGCCAGGGATGCTACCATCCTGTGACGCACAGGACAGCCCCCGTAACCTATGGACATCTGGGGCTGGATTGCTTTTTGTTATGGGGGCCATCCTGTGCATCACAGGGTGTCTAGCAGCGCCCCTGGCCTCTACCCACTAGATACCACTAGAACACCCCCAAGGTGTGTCCAAAAATGTCTCCAGACATTGCTCAAGCTCCCCTGGGAGCAAAACTACCCCTGGGTGAGGTCCACCGGTCTAATGTGTGCCTCGAATGCTACCTATTCCATAGAACCTTCTCCAGTCCCCCAGCATGGAAGTTCCTTCTGGTCCCAAAGCACCTGATGGCACTTTTTACAGGCAGCTTTTTCGAGCACCCCCTCCGCTAGATTAGACGCTTCCTGAAGACAGGAACTAGGTCCCAGTCTCTCCTTTCCTGGGCCTGGTACTATGATTCTCATCGAGAGCTCCGTGTTTGGGAAGCTGCCTCCCTGGACACCTGTGAATGTACGTGGCTTCCTTGGTTCTCACTGGTCCCAGGTATGTGGGTCTCCAGTGCTTCTATTTCACCCTTGGACGTCCCCTTCCAATCTACCTGGATGGGGCAGGTGAAATGCCCCGTCTAGCTGAGTGAAGGCAGACACCTGGCTCAAAAACTTGTCTGCCCACCCCTCTCACAGACTTCTACCCTTGTCTTTGACGTCCCTTGCCCTTTGTTATAAATGCCACACTTCTGTAGAGAAGCTGGGGTGACAGCGTTAGTGACGATGTAAAAAAAATAATAACCGGCTCACTGTCTTATAGCACTTTCCGTGTGCGGCACATACATGCTTTTACAACAGTCAATACCTCTGATGCTCAGACCACCTATGAGGTATGTGCTATTTTTACCGTCCCTGTCCTATAGATGGGGAAATGGAGGCATACACAGGCAAAGTGCTTGTCCAAGGTCACAGGAACCATGACCAGTGAGCTGGGATCTGAAACTGGGCATTTGGCACTGAAGTCTGTGTCCATGAACCTCCACGATCACTGTCTCCATTTGGAACTCTTTGTTTCAGCCAATATTCCTGTGAACTTCAGATACTTCTCGGAATCAGCGAGGATGGACTTTTCTTTTTCTCTTGCCCACCCCTCCTACCTTGGGCTCCTGCCCTGATGCTGCCCCTCAGACGCCCTGCCTGGAGGTGGTGGTGGGAAGGCAGGAGGCACAGACCCCACTCGGGTACACTCCTAGGGACGCTGGGAGCTGACTGGGGCTAGGAAGGCTGTGTCTGGTCTCAGACCTCCCAGACGTACCCCCATAGCCCACCACCCTCCAGTCCAGGCCAAGGGTTAAGAGTAAACACACATCTAAAGAGAAAAAAACTCCCTTGATTTTCCATGGCGCAAAAAGCGAAAGAGACCTTTCTCTCTTCTTGGAGCATTTTCTTTAGAAAACTTATTGTAAATTATTTCTCTGTCCTTTTAAGGGCTAAATAAGTCTCTTCTAGTCTTACAGTGCAGGAACGGGTTCTTAAGGGTCTAGGAACCTTCTCTCCCAGATATGTCACATCGGGGAAGGTAGCATCCGTCCCCTTCTCAGTGACAGTTCAACTTAGGCACCTGGCTAAGTCCCTGAGTGGCGTGGGAATATGAAAAGTTTTGTTTTCCTCTGGATAAAGGCAATTAGCTAACAGGGATGGCCACCCCAATTACCCACCAGCAGACTTAGGATGGACGAGTGTGACAAACTGTCACACCTGCTGGCAGGTCCTCTTGCTTGAGGATAGGCACGTGGGGGGTACCTGCCTGGCTGTATGGAAGGGGGAGGTTTTTCTGTCTTTGTGATCTCTTTGGCCTGCGGTACACATGGCAGTCTGGTTTGATGCTTAATTAATAACACTTCCACTCTTTTCTACCTTTGTGGAGAGCATTCACTGGGGTGGCAGGAGGTTTTATCTTTAACTACTTCCCCAACAAGGGCCAGAGCAGTGACTTTGCCACAGAAGCCTGGATTACCGTGGGCGGAGGGGAGCCTCTTCCGATGAGTGGCACGTTCTCGTAGCGCGGGTTCCCACCAAAGAGCATGGCTTGGTTCCTGCGGGTGAGAGGACAGCTCAGGAGGCGACGGGCTCAGGGGGTGTGTGCAGATTTCTACAGGTGGGCCCTGTGGGTGTGCTATGGGAGTGGGGGTGGGGAGCGGGGTGGAAACGGACTACTGATGGAGTTAAGGGAGTGTGGGCAGGAAGATAACTGGAAGAGCAACCGAGGAGGTCTGGGGACAAGCAGCAGATGGGACACCAGGAGCAGCGCAATTTCTCAGGCCTGGGACTGCCCGTGGACTGCGGCAAAAGGCCGCTGCCTGCCATCTGTAGTGGGTCCTTCCACCAGCACACGGGTGTGAGGGGTGATGGGGTGCTTCCCGGGGGCCTTCCTGCCAGGCATCCTGGGGCTGTTGTGGGGACCGCAGTTGGCCTGATGCCTTCCCTCTGCCACCTGGCTCTGTGGACCCAAACGTGCTATCCACAAACCCAGCTCCCCTCTAGGGCCAGGAGGGGCCGTGCTGCCCCAGCCAGGAGTGCTGGGGGAACTCGGGGAGCCCCGCCTTACATGTACTCGGAGACGGGGGCGTTGGAGATGGTCTGGGCGGGGGGCTGCAGGCTGGTCTGACTGCCCAGGCCACTGCTGTAGCTGCAGAAGCTATGAAGCTGCCCCCTCGGGGGGTTGTGCGCCGCGATGCGCCGGGCTTGGGGGTTAAAGGGGTCATCATCGTCAATGTCGTCATAGTCTCTGTCCCTAGAACGACACATAGAATTCAGCCAGCTGTGAGGATGAGGGAGTCTTGAGGCAGCTGGGGCCTGTTCTGCTTTGCAATCCTTCCTCCCAGGACTCTTAGATTCCTCTAAAACACAATCCTTAGCTCCATCTCACACAGATCACTCTGCCCCACTCCCAACTTCATGGCCACCTCCTCCAGGCAGTCCACCGTGCTGACCGCATGCACACGGATCCTCCCTACCCTGCTTTCTCTTGTCTAACCTGCTCCGGAGCTGCTGAAACACCATCTCATCCCTGTCTATCTTCTCGATGAGACTGCAGGTTCCCCAAAACAGGGATACCATCTACCCTTCTTGGTACTCCCTAGGGCACCCCTCCCAGCACCCAAAACTCTCCTCGGCATTCCAGGTTGCAAAGTCCTGTGGTGGAAGAGAGGAGAAACAAGAGATGCCATGTCACTACCCTCGGTCCCAGCTCCTGCTCTGGGCCCCCCAGAATCTCCTTTTGGGGGGCAGTCTGGACTCCTGGGGGAGTTTCTGTAGAAAGCCAGCCAGCCTGTTGGGGCTGTTGCCCTGCTCGATCCCAGAGCAGAGCCTCCCCGGGCTGCAGGCGGCTCCCTCCTCACTGGGTGGCCCACCTGGCGGTGAAGTGCTTCCAGGCCCGCAGCCCCATGCAGATCAAGGTGGAGAAGGCCAGCGCGGCCAGGAGGGAGAAGAGGCCGAGGTAGAGCAATCCCTCGAGGCCGTCGTAGCAGATGCCAGCAAGGGCGTCCAGGTAGTCCTGGGGCAGAGGAGGAACACACGGTTGGAGAGGGAATGGAGGGCAAAGCCTGGGATCCTAGCTCTTCTCTGGAAGCCTCTCTCCTCCCAACCCGGACTGGGGATCTCCTGGTCGCTCCCCAGTACAGCCATTAAGGGTCCATACTCTGGAGCCCAGCACAACGGGGCTGCTTGGGTTCACCCTATAAACCTCTGCTGGGCACCTACTGTGTGCCGGGCACAGGAGGGCTCTAAGCCAGACAGACAAGGCTATAGGGTGGGGGGAGCCAGAGACAGGTGGCATTGAAGCTGAGGCCAGGATGGCAAGGAGGGGCGTGCCTGAGCAGACAAGGCAAAGGGGACAAGCTTGGCATGTTCAGGAAAGAAAAAAAAGGCCAGCAGGGGAGGAGTTTGGATTTTACCAAAGTGAGTGGAAAACTCTGCAGTGTGTGGGGATGTGATCCAATTCATTTTAAAAATCGATGGCTCTGGCTGCTGTGTGTGAAAGGTCATGGTAATACGGGGACGAGAAAACATGGGAGAAGGCCATTGTCCCCCAGGGAAGCAGATGGCGCTTGGACCATGGTGGAAGCCGTGGAGAGACAGAGAAGTGGAGGATTCAGGATCCATTTTTTTTTTTTTTGTCTTTTTTCGTGACCGGCAACAGATCGCAACCCTCAGTGTCGCCCCCGTACCGGACCGGGACCGGCAATGGGATCGCAACCCTCGGTGTTGCTCCCGCACCTCGCTCAGCCAGTGAGCAGGAACCGGTCTGTATGTGGGATCCGAACCCTCGGCGGGAGCGCCACCGTGCTCCCAAGCGGCGCACTGTAGCAGTGCGCCACTGGGCCGGCCCCTCAGGATCCATTTGAGGGACCGGTTGCCAGGACTTGCTGAGGGACTAGGAGTGGAGGGAGAGGGAGAGAGCGGACAGGGCGGCCCCCATGTTCTTAGCGCTGAAGCCAGACGACCAGGATCCCAAACCCAAGTCCTTGACTTGCCAGCTCTGGACACTTCAGTAAGCTACTTCATACATATATCCACATGTGAGGACACTTTAGAAGTTCATGGAGGGCTGGCCGGTTAGCTCAGTTGGTTAGACCACAGCCTTCTAACAGCAAGGTCATGGGTTCAGATCCCCGTACCAGCCAGCTGCCAAAAATAGAATAAAATAAAAGTTCACGGAAAAATAGAATTGAAAGATAATACACATCTTTCCATGAACTTTTTGAAGTGCCCATGAACACATACACACACAAGTATATGTATACATATTTAGACTGGCCTGTTAGCTCAGTTGGTTAAAGCTGGTGCTGATAACACCAAGGTCCAGGGTTCAAGCCCTGTATACACCAGCCGCCAAAAACAAAACAAAGAACCCACAACAACAAAAAAAATCTATACCTATCTGTCTATCTATTCTCCATCCGTCCACCCACAGACACAGTTTTCCTTATCTATAAAATGACATATTGGATATAAAGTGTACAGAGCAGGGTCGAGCACAGAACTGAGTACTCAATAAATAGCAGCCATGAACATTATTATGACTATTTGCTCTAAATCAGTATGGGATGTAAAAGCTGTTGACGTACATTGGCTCACTGCTTGGGGTTGGGGGACTGCTCACATACTCCCAGTGTGCTCCCTGCATTGTTGTGTCTGATATTCCAAATTCCTGGAAAGATGACCCCGGCAATGAGATTTGGACACCCACTTGCAACCCAGGGAGATAGATGGGTTGACCAGATGGCTAGGAGCCTGGCCCATGGGGAACAGACTCCTTCATATTGGTCAGGGTTCCCCAAGGTTTTAGAGCTAACCTGATCCAACCCTCCTATCCCTGATCTCTGGTACTTTTTACTGGGTCTCCCTGCCTCAGCCACTGGAGAGAATCAAAAAGCCAGGCACCTTCTTCCCCTTCCCACCATCCAGTGTCAGCTCCATTCCCAGGCCTGAATCACTCTCCAGGCCTCTGCTAGCTTCTGTCTGGGAAAATGTGTCCTGCCAGAGTGTCCCACACCCTCTGCACCCCCAGGGGCCACCCCAGCACCTTGTGCAGCCCTCGGCAATCCAGCATGGCCGTCAGCTGGTGAAGGTTGGACTCGGAGGAGTTCAACAGGAGCTGGATTCTAATCAGATCTTTCTGAAGCAGGAAGAGAGAAAGAAGCAGAGATAAAACCACAAACAGCAGCTCGTGCAAAGAGGCTTTTAGAGCCAAAGGAAGGGTCCACGCCACCGGGGGAGGGATGCAGAGAGGGAGCAGCAAGCTCTCCAAGCCTGGGCCTGGGGCTCAGGCGGGGAGCTGGCTGGGGAAGGGGGTGTTAGGGTTTATCTGGGGCTCCCTGCATCAGCACGAATGCTGCAGGAGCCACCGCCTTACCTCTGCTGTGGGGAAGAGGGCCACGGCAAACTGCAGCAACCCCGCGACCTGGATCTGCATGGTGGTCAGTGAGCGCTGGAAGGTGGTCAGCGCCTGGGCCAGGGGAGATCGCAGCGCCATGTGAGGCTCAGTTTCCCAGGAGCCCCACGGCTACGGAGGGACCTGTTCTCCTGCAGCCCCCGCTCCCCCCACCCTGGTCCTTCCTGCTTGCAGCAAGTCTCCCCTATCCTTCTGGCTTCTTGAGTGTCACACAGTTCTTTTGCTGCCTGCTATTCAGGTGTGGTCCTCTGACCAGCAGCATAGGCCTTGCCCGGAGCTCGAGAAATGCAGTCTTGGGCCCCACCCAGACCTCCTGCACAGCACCTTTAGGTTAACCAGCTCCCTGGTGAGGTGCACATGTGTTAATATGTGGGAAATGCCAATCTAGAACATACAGATGAGAGCACAGCCCCCTTCAGAGAACTGGCTAATCAGAGGACCATAGTGCAGCAAGGACCATTCAGCCACCTCCACTTTCCTGGTCAGGGGTGAGGCTTGGGGTCAAGAGGGAGCAGGCTGATGGGGGGCTGTGGGCAGGGTGAGGGTGGGTCTGGGCGGGCCATACCTGCTGGAAGGGGCTGCTTACACTCTGACTGCAATACAGGTAGTAGCGGGTCACCTCTGCAAGGCAACAGCATTTGTGTCAGGCGCCTCGCAAATGACCAGACCCTACACCATCCTTGGAGGCCAAGCCAGGCCTTCCTCCCCATCCCCGAACTCCCAAAGGAGGCAGTTTATAGGAAATGGCCCAGAGGTCATACTGAACCTGAAGTCTGGGGGCGGGGAGGGGTTGGGTGACTACTGGGCTGAAAGAGGTAAGTAGAGGCACAATCTGGCTAGCCACGTGGGCTCTGACAGCAGAGGCCTGAGAGTGCAGTACCTGTGCTGATCTGGCCCTGTGTGATATTCAGGATGAAGGTGTCGGGAGCCATGCAGAAGTCACTGGTACCCTGAGTCAGGGAGAGATGGGAGGAGGTGGAGGAAAGTCAGACACTAGTGCCCTGGGAGGGGCCGAGCTCCCACTGCCCCAGCCACCCGGCCGCTCCAGCTCATTCCTGGGTGGCAGAGAACAGATGGGAGTCAGCCTCCTGGCTTTGAATCCTGGCTCTGCCACCTTAGACAAGTTTCTTATACTTTCTGTGCCTCAGTGGCCTCATCTGCAACACGAGATAGTACAGTGTTCAGAAAAGTGGCTGTGGCAGAGATGCCTCTTCTGTGACAGGTCCTCAGGGGGCCAGTGGCCTGGGCCGAGGGCAGCTGCAGGGGATGTGTTGGGGAGCTCTCTGCACCATGGCTCATTTGCTCATCTCTGTTTTATTTTTTGTCTTGCTGTTATCTACATGCTCTGATGGTCAATTTGTGAAGGCCCCCTGGACTCTCTTTCTAAAGAATGAGGTTAGTTCTGAGTCCATCTTTGAGTCTTTGGGGGTAGTGATGAGTCCATCTTTGAGTCTTCAACCTGCTGAGATGGGTGCTGGGAGGTCACGGATCCAGGCTCTGCCGCTGATGAGCTGGGGGACCTGGACCCACAGCATGGCCTGGCTGGATGACCACTAAGACCCACGCAGCTGAGTGGGATCAGGTACAGGCCCTGGGAGAGGTGGCAGCCTGTGAGCCAAGCACCACCCAGATCTGGCCGGGGGGCACGGGAGCATGGGCTAAGGGGGGTCCACCTTTCAGAGCAGCCAATGTAAGCTCTGGTCCTCCAGGCTGTTCCCAGGGGCACCCTCCTGATGGCCCAGCTCTGCCAGTGGCCCTGTCCTCCTCCAGGACCCGCTGCCTCAGGGTCCACACTCGAGCAGCACTTGTTCACTCATTGAGTCAGCAGATATTTATTGAGAGCTTCCCAGGCACTGTGCGTGGCTCTAGGCACAGGATACAGTGGTGAGCTGCCTCATGGCACTTATGGTCTGGAAAATGTGTGCGTGAGGGAGGCTGGGGAATCACCCGCCCCTCTGGGTACAGAGTGTCATCCCCAGATCCCTGTGTGTGCACGCATGCACACATGCATGAACACACACATGCACGCACGCACGCACTGCCCCACGTGCTCAGGACCCTGGGAGAAGTGCTTTATACACAAACCACTAACATACATAGTCAATCAGCCTGGCTTCTTATCGGTCAAAACTGCAGTGCCAGCAGGCCCGGTGGCTGGGATGGCAGAGAGAGGGCAGCAGGCCCGAGTGGGGGATGAGGAAGCCTTGGGAAAAATAAACAGCAAGGCCACCATCTTGGTCTGAGTCACCCCCAAAAAGTTTGGGATCCAAGGAGGGAGGGGGCAGGAGGCCCGTCAGAGGTTCCACCAGTGATGTGACCGGTCTCCCTTCCTCCCCCCCTCCCAGGCCTGCTCTTCAGATCCCACAGCCACCCTCCAGCCCACATCTCCTGGGACAGGTGCTTTAGGATGGTTTGGGGCGTGGGACTCAGTGAGGAGTCAACTTTCCCATTAAGGAAGACAAACGCCTGTATGTGCATGCATGTGTGTGCGCGTTATGTGCACAGGCACGTATGCATGTATGGATCTGTGCGTACATGCACGTGCATTATTCATGTGATGGTGAAGGAGATGGAGGGAGGGGAGAGAGGAAGGGGGGCACTGAGCACAGCTGGGGCAGGTGGGAGAAGCTGCCCAGTGCCCAGCCCAGGTGATGGCTGAGGCTGCAGGCAGTGCCTGAGCACAGAGGTGCCGGTCTGCAGGGGCCATGGCCGTGACCTCACCTGGCGATAATAAATGTTTGGGAAGCCAGTCACGGCTGCTGTTTATTAAACACTTACCATGTGCATCCCATGCATCAATCAACTCATCTTTTCCTATCCACAAGCCTTTGTGGAAAGTACTGTTAATCTCCCCATTTTACACATGAGGAAACTGAGGCATGGAAAACTTCAGTAACTTTCCTGGGGTTCCACTCCTGGGAAGGGGTGAAAGGGGGATGAGGACTCAGGCAGGGGGCTCCAGAGGCCAGGCTGCCACCTTCTGCCCCAGGGCTGGATTCACCCAGAACGCTCTGTCCGCCATCCTCCGTGGCCAAAGTCACAGGGAAGTGAGGGGAGGGAGGTGGGGGAGGAGCTGGCTCTCTCCAAACAGGCCTCAGAGAGCACAAAAGCCCTGCACCACAGCCCTGTGACAGCTACCCCCCACCGCCCCTGCCCTCCGGCTCCTCTCCTCGTCACCCCGCTTCCTATTACAATGCAGCAGCAGCTGCAGCCCTATCAAAGGCCCATTCAGCCCCACCTCACACTCGGACTGTCTCACAAGGGCCTGACTAAAGGAATTAGGGAAATGGCATTTCTCCCCAGCTCCCTCGCATTCCAGGGCACCCAGCTGGGAGATTAAATCGCCACTGGTTTCACTGAACACTGAAGCCTGGGGAGAGGGAGAAGCCTGGTGGCAGGGAGCCGGCTCCTGAAGGGTGGCTCACGGTGACAAGCTGGAAACTGTCGCTGCTTCAGATTCAGAAGGCAGAGGCTGCCCAGGCAGCAGGAGCGGCCCGGACAGCCTCCCTGTGCTTGTGCTTGCCGCGGGGGAGAGGCGGCCAGCTGGGCAGCTGTGCATGTCACACTGGCCAACCACTCCCTCCCCTGTACCATTCCCAGCCCTCCCTGCCCTTTTCTGTGCCAGTCCTTGGTACTCGGCCACTGCATGGGGGTGCGGGGGTAAGGACAGGAGATGCCCACCTCCTCTCCCTTCTGGACAAGGCTCTGCCAAAAGCTGCCAAGCCAAGCAGCAGCAGGGTCCCCTCATTCTGTGGGCAGTATGGAAACAAAATGCCCAAGTCTGGAGCTGCCGGCCAACCCCCAAGTCACTGGGAAGGTGTGAGTTTGGGTAGGGGGCTTCCAGTACGAGCCTCATCCTTTCACCCCCAGGCTGCTAGGGCAGGACAGATGCAGATCACAGGGCTAGTTTGTGGCCCTTGCACTGGCCAGAGGATCCTTGACATCCCTTGGTAAATTGTGCACTCTGTCTCACACACACTCGCACAGCATGCAACTCCGCTGCATCGATTCACACCATGTTGCAATGATCTGTCCACAAGTCTGGCTTCTGCTGGCTGAGACTTCATCAACAGCAAACATCACATCCTCCTGGTTTTTGCATTCCTAGGCACCAGGCACCTTGGGTGTCACCCAGCAGAAAATGTCAGCTGAATGAATGAGCAGACTTACACACATGGCTTAACTCTGCCATTACGTCTATTAAAGACCAAATGTACTGATATATACAAGGGAAGAACCCCCCACCATCTTTTTTTTTAATCATTTTTGAGGCACCCATCCAGAAGCATGCACCATGTGTGTTTTGGACCATGTGTGCAAGTCCGAGGGCAATGGGACGGAAGATGAGCTAAATGCCACATTCCACGTTCCCACTGCTGGGGAAGCTGCCAACAGAGTTGCTTTTGGAGCCGGAGGTTCAGACTCTTGCCCATTCCTAGCAGACCTGGTTAGTTCTTCACACCCAGAGAGAAGCCACCTGCTCAGCCATGCATCCCTTACGTGCACTGGCGTCTTATCTTGGCTCTGTCCCTTCCTTTCTCTGGGTGAGGAAGCTAGTCCGGATGATCTAAGTCTCTTCCATTCTGAGATTTTGGGATTCCAGTTTAGGGACTGTGCCTGGAAGCCGGCCCTACATGGGGACTCTGGACAGGACACATCCCCAGGCAGACTGTCCTGGCCGGACCACCACCCCCACCCCCCACCACTATCAACTCACCACTGCCGCAGCTGTGTTGGCAGCCAGGGAAGCCCAGCTGAGGAGCAGGGTCAGCAGCCCACAGCACAGCATCCTAGGAGAGAGGCAGATGCCAGTGGGATCCCAGGCAGAAGCGGCCAGCCCCTGTGATGGCTGTCACCGCACCAACCTCAGCACCCTTCCTCCTGGCCATCACCCTGCCCTCCCTGGCCCCTAGACTCTTACAGTGGTTCTGAAAGCAGCCCTAACCCCTGTGCTGACATCTGTCTGGCCAATTGCTGGGAGTGGGCTATGGAGCCCAATGCCTGGACACGGGCCCTGGGCTAACGAGACGTGCTGTGGGAGCGCAAGCAGAGGAGAAGGTGCTGGCTGGAGATGGCCAGAGGCTCTGAGGCTCGGCTCAACAGAGTCAGGCCCAGGGACGGAGGGAACGCACGGAGCCCCATGCTTGCTTGGGGACCAAGACAGTGGCTGCTGTCTCCCCACAGCTGGGTGCTGAGGAGGGGGCAGGATGCGGCTTCGGGCAGCCTGGCTGTTGTCCTCCCACCCCCTCTGGGCCTGCCAGCCCTTCGTTCCTCTCTGACAGTGGCACCTGGCCCAGCTCTTTGTCCCAGGTCCATGGGTGGGGCTACTCACGAGGCCAGGAGACACTTGGAGTGCTTGGCCAGTCCCAGGCAGGCGGCGAGACAGATGACCAGGTCCACGATGAAAAGCAGGAGGTAAGAGAGCCACCTGGGCAGAGGGGGAGGGTGGTCAGGGGCAGCAGGACAGAACGCCCCCTGCTGCCTGTACAGCAGCCCTAGGCCCGCTGACCGTCACTTCCTTATGACGAGCTGGCCAGAGCCAGCAAGGACCTGTGTGCATGGCCTGGAGGGCTCCTCAAGGGCTCCGGGGCTGCACCCCACTTCTGCCTGGACAAAGCCGTCACCCTCCCGCTCCCTGCCTCGACCTCCTGGCTGAGTGTGTCAAGTAGCACTGTGTACTAGAACTTTCCGCAGTGATGAAAATGTTCTAAATCTGTGCTGTCCTCTCTATCTGCCACTACTTACACGTGGCAACTGAGAATGTGAAATGCCGCTTGAGCAACTGAGGAAATGAATTTTTAACTTTCATGTTAATGAACTTAAATTTAAATAGCACATGTGGCTAGTGGCTGCCACACTGGACAGGGCAGCTCTGGAGCGTCTCTCTGCAGTCTCCCAGCTTCCCTTTGCTTCTAGAAAGAACTCGCAAGGCCTGACATTTATAGCCACAGAGCTAAAAACCCCCTACAATACCCACTTCTTTGACAGACGTTCACCCTGGCCTCCCCAGTGCCTCCATCTGGCCCCCTGGCAGCGTGGGGTCTAAGACTCAGGGTGTTTAGGTTCAATTCAACCAACATTCGTGTCAGGCCCTACGGTGGGAATGAACATAAGTGGGAATGTTCCCGACCATCAGGGAACTCAGGGTCAGGATATCCCAGGGCACCTTAAACCTCCAGGCCTCCCAGCCCCTCACTGCTCGGGTCTTTTTGCCCCCCAGGGCTGAGCTGATGGGGAAAGGTCACACACCAGCTTGGAGACACTGGCAAGCCACCTCACCCCTCTGAGCCTCAGTTTCCATATCTGTAAGGAAGATGGAACCTCTCCTCTCAAGGCGGGGGTGAGGAGTGACTGCTCGCTAAATACAAAGGCCAGACAACAGGAGTTTCCAAGTCCCTCCTCTCCTGCTTCTCCAGAGGCCGGGCTAAAGGACCCAAGCACCTGGAGCCCCAGAGTACTGAGAAGATCCTTAGCACCCTTGTTCCTTTCTCTTCCAAACAGGACCCCAAGGTGGCCCTCGCACTGTAGCACCAGCCTGGCCTCGCAGCCACTGCCATTTGCCCTGCCCTGGGGACTAGCCTGAGCAACTGGGAGGGGTGGGGTGGGGTGGGGTGGCCAGAGACGGGAGGCTTCTCTCAGTTCCCCAAAAGGAAAGTCTTTTGATCACTATTTCTCTTGATGCAAGAGCCAAATAAATTCATTGACGACTCCTCTCCAGCAATGGTTTTCTGCTTCACTAATGACATAAAGAGGGGAAGAGAGTTTGGAGTGTGGGCAGGGAGTGGCCTGGAGCTGGCAGAAAGTGACAGAGGTTCTGAGGGGGAGGGAGCCAGCTGGAGGCCCCCCGCTGCCGAGTGAGGCTCTTTCTACCTTTGTGAATTGAGGCTAATGCCAAAAGAAGGGGCCTAATCAAAATCCTCGACCCTGCATAGAGTGGGGGGCAGCCAGGGCTGAGCCCCCCAGGAACTCTGGGGTTCCCAGGAATGGAGTAGAGGGCTTTGGGGAAAGAGCTGAGCCCACCGTCCACTTAGAATCACAGATGGAAGGAACCTCGGGAACCATCTAGTGTTAGGATCCCATTCTACAGATTGTAGAACTGAGGCCCATGGGGGGAGACCCAGACTCGACGCATTGAGGCTTCCTACAAGGCACACAGCCAGCCACAGGCACCTCTCACAACACTGGGTTCATGTTTCAAACCTAATGATTTCATGCGACCTTCCCCTACTCTTCCCATCAGCAGGAAATCCAATTAGGGCCGCTTCTAACTGCTCTCCATGGTGGTGGCTCAATGTGTTATCTCCCTTCCACGCCTCACTTTTTAAAGCGTTCCTGGAAACAGCATCTCGAAGCAGATGTGTTTTCCCAGAGGAGCCCGCAAGACCAGGGATGTGTTTCTAACCAAGAACTTGGCTCTGGCCTGCTGGCTCCGCGCCCCGCCCGACCCCCACGACCCCTCCCATATCCGGCCTCTGCAGCCCTGACCCGTGTACACGCTTTATCCCCTGGACTGCAAGCCTTTCGAAGAGAGTAATCTCTCCGCTTAGTATCTCCTCCAATGCTTCGCCAGGCCTTGTGTAAAAGTGCTCAGAAATATTAGCTTAGCTGATCAGCTCGAGAAGCACCTGAAAAGCAAAGATGGGGGCTCTCCAGAGACCTGGTCCCCCGAGGTTGCAGAGCTCCCTGGACAAAGCCTTCCGTCTAAAGCAGCTCAGGTGAGGGAAAGCAGAGGGGAGACGAAGGGACAGACATCGTCAGTTTCCAGGAGCCACTGGTGCCAACCTTGGACTACACCTTTCTATCTCGACCTGAACAAGGGGTGTGGAGTTGGGGGTGGGGGGGTCACAGAGGACCCCTTCAGTCACCCACACTGAAAGAGCTGCTGTGCAGCTGTCAGGACCCCACCTATTTTTAATGAAATCACCTTAACAATGAGCCCTTTTTGATATGTAAATTCTGACTTACTGAATCACTGTCATTACCCAAATACCTGCAGGAGGCCCTTAAATGCACATGGCTCTCCACTAGGTGCACTGGGACAGAAGAGCGAGGTCACATGGACACCTACTCCATACATTCCACCCTGCCCTGAATGACACAAAGATTTCAAAGGCTCGAGCAATGATGGCCCACAGGCCACAGGACTGATAGATACCACTGTTCTGGGCCACAGGAGGTCACAGCCAGTCCCTAGAGTTGGCAGTTTCTTTCTGTCCTTTGGGAGGAAGGCACTTTTGCCCATGAGCATCCATCTGGTGAGGAGTGGGACTAAGGTCCCTTTCAATCCTTGACATCGTGGAAATGAAGGGGGCTGGGCAGTGCCATTTGGGGAGCAAGGGGCTTCAGGACCCCCCTCCTCAAGGCCCTGCCATCTCCTGCCCTCGGGAAGGGAAGAGCACTGGAGGGGGAGGTTTCTGGAGCATTTTCTCTGGACTCAGTCTAGCAGTGACCTCCTGGGGTGGGGCTCTATGACACAAAGAGAGACAAATCCAGAAAGCCAGGGTAAATTGTGCAAATGTTGCATAAAGGCTCTGACCTTTGTCAATGGCTTGAAGAGCAGCCAAAAAATTGGTGAGGGATGGGTCCCAAGAGCTTCTTTGTCACAGCTCATTTATCCACCCTACCTTGTGCCTGCTCCGATCTAGGCACTGGCCCTGAGTGGTCAAGGACCTGCACTTCACGAGTGCATGTTGCCTTTTGACCGGGAGTCACCCCAAGTCCCAGACTGTTGCCTCCTTGAATGGCTCTCCCCAGACCTTTGCTAGACCCTGCACCTGGAGAGAGGGCAGCAGTCCCTGTCAGCTGACCTGGGTCCAGGGCCTTCACTCGGGATGGGGTGTGGGGAACGGGGAGGCAGAGGAGATGTAAGAGAATACCCAAAGGCCAGATGACGTAGGTATGAGCTGGGTGGTCAAAGTGGGGGCCAAACTCAGGTTCGTTGTAAGTGAAGCTGGGGGCATCGCTGGGCAGGCCGATGCAGCCCCGCTGCCCCTCACCTGTAGTACTCCACGTAGCCAGTCTGGTTGGACAGCTCGGTCAGCTCCGTGGTAACCTCCCTCCACGTGGGTAGTCCTGAGAGCTGGGCAAGGATGTTGCCTGCCATTTGCTGCACAAACTTCAGGGTCTGGATATAATCGCCCCGGGCAGCAAAGATCTCGCTGAGCCGGGCAAGGTGCTGCTCTAGGTCCACTTTCATCTTCTGGGTGGTTCCAGAAACCTAGGGAGGGGTAAAGGTGGGAGAAGGCCAGGGAGGTAAAGCTCTGGATTCTCACTCTGGAGGAGGACATCTCTGCAAGCAGCAGAAGACGGCCTGCTCAGCCCGGAAGGAACACACCACTCTGCCCTGGAGGAAGGACCAGAGACAGAGGCCCCCGTTACCCACCCCGTCCTCATGTCCCTCAAACCAGGAGCAGGCCCTGATCTGGCCTTAACCAGGACTTGGGCTCCAAGATCCAGTGCCTTGGTATAAAAAGAGACCCCCAGGAGCTGGCCAGTTAGCTCAGTTGGTTAGAGTGTGGTGTTATAACACCAGGATCAAGGGTTCGGATGCCCAGTCTGGCCAGCTGCCAAAAAATAAAAATAAAAAGAGATCCAGATGGAAAAACAAACAAAATAATCAATTCTTCTTCCTTGAAGACTCTCTTAAAACTTTAAATACTTTGGATCTTGAATTCTCTCTTTTTTTTTTTTTTTCCTTTTTGTCTTCTTTCGTGTCCGGCAACGGATCGCAACCCTCAATGTCGCGCCCGTACTGGACCGGGACCGGCAACGGGATCGCAACCCTCGGTGTCGCGCCCGCACCTCGCTCAGCCAGTGAGCGGGAACCGGTCTGTATGTGGGATCTGAACCCTCGGCGGGAGCGACGCCGCGCTCCCAAGCGGTGCACTGTAGCAGTGCACCACCGGGCCGGCCCTTGAATTCTCTTTTAGAGAAATAAAATGTTTGAATTGAAGAGTTCCTATGTTGCTACCTGACCTTTGATTTCCACAACAGGATTTCCAAACGTCCTATGAGTGTAAGGTTTTGTTGTAGAGCCAGCAACAGCTCACAGTGTCCTGAACGTTGAGTGCAGGCAGAACAATCGGACTTTGAAGAAAAACAAAGACAGACCCGATCCTGTCTCTGAAGAGCCTGGACATGAGATAGGAGGAGGAAATCAGCGCCTTCTCTGTGTGCTTATGTCCTCCCCTCGTCACGTATCCTGCCAGGTGGGTGGACAGGCTCCTGTCCCTTGGCTAGACTTTAGGGGCCTAGAGTTGAACTGACCCTGAAGGAAGCATCTACCTATGCAAAGGTAGAAAAGAAAGGACGATGGCAGTGACTGTCTCCACTGGCTTTTGAACAAGAAGCACAGGTGGGGCCGGCCCTGGAAAGTGCTTTCAAACAGCCCAGACCTGAGTGCCCGCAGGGCGCAGGGACACAGCAACCCCAAGCACGCTGCTCCTAAGCCTGCTCTGAGCCTGCTTGTTGGCGGCCGGGGGGTGGGGAAGAAAGGCTTTGTTGTTCTGAAACTGTCACGCTAAACTGAGACACACACTGGCTGGGAGGGGGCAGTGTGTGCTAATCCCCGTCCGTCTGGCAGCCTTCAGCTCCCACAGGTCTGGAAGATAAAAACGACAAGGGGCAGAAACTTCCCACAGGGAGAGCTCGGCAGAGGCCAGGGAGATAACACTGCCCGTGGCAAGCTCGGGGTCACTGTGTTACAGGGAAGTGCCATCCACCGCGTGGCCTTTAACATCGGCTACGCTGGGGGTTCCTGGTTCCAGAAAAGAGAATGGCTCTCTTTGTTTCGTTTGGTTTTATTTTTTCAGTGTCAGCAGCTTGTTCCGTTTTCTGGCTTGTGCCTGGTTCTTATGAGCTGGTTGACGAAGAGATAGCAGAGTATAGAGCTGCTCTGTATCTTACAGATTTGGCAGCTTGTAGCTTCACACAGGGGGAAAAAACCCCAAAACCATGTTAAAGCACATTCAGTAACTATATATCACCCTAATAAACTTCACCATTCAATTTAATAAAATATACAAATGCTTTGTAACCACTGATACAAATGGCACTGTTATTTTTTTTTTTCCTTTTTGTCTTTTTTCGTGACCGGCAACGGATCGCAACCCTCAGTGTCGCGCCCGTACCGGACCAGGACCGGCAACGGGATCGCAACCCTCGGTGTTGCGCCCGCACCTCGCTCAGCCAGTGAGCGGCCAGTCTGTATGTGGGATCCGAACCCTTGGCGGGAGCGCCGCCGCGCTCCCAAGCGGCGCACTGTAGCAGTGCACCACCGGGCCGGCCCAAAATGGCACTGTTATTAAATGATAACATTATAAGTGAACCCAATAACATGAGACATTTTTTTATTCCTGTATTATATGAAACAAATTTCAGAACAAAGCGCTGTTAAAAACTATCTGTACACTTTTTCCCTGAGACCACTTTTTTCTCCTTGCACGGCTCTACATTTTTAACTTCTCTATTTCTTAAACTCCTCATTAAAAAGAAAAACCAGAAGACAATAAACATCTGTCGGGCTCTCTTTTTCCTCCTGATGTCTTCTCATAGGACACAAAACAAAATTAGAAAACATCAAAATCACAACATTGACCTACTTACAGCTCCCAGCTTCCTTACACCACCCCAATCCGTAGAGGTTTGTACACAGCACTTCCCCTAGGGCGACAGAGGGGGGACGCCCCACAGGTGGAATCGGGCTCTCTCCCATAGAGAAGAGAAGCTCTGAGAAAGAAAGGCTGGGCAGGGTTAGGGACGAGCCCAAAGGTGGTGGGAACTGTTGTCCCATAGGATGGAGCAGCAGTTCTCAAAGTGTGGTCCCTGGACCAGCAGCAGCAGCATGAAAAATGCTAATTCTCAGCCCTGCCCCAGATCTACTGAACCAGAAACTCAGAAACTCACTTGGGGCAGGGCTGGGGGGGGAGGTAGGGGGTGACCTGTAATCCTGTTCAATAAGTGCTCCAGGTGATTCCATTGCAAGCTCAAATTTGAATACCTACGGCAGGAAGGAAGCTCCTCAATATCATGAGGTTGTCTGGAAGGGCAGGTGGGCCAGGAGCTGAAGATGAAGGTCAGGGGTGAGAAGGAACCCGGGGTTAAGAGTGGAAGGCCTGGGCAGGCCCGGTGGTGCACTGCTACAGTGCGCCGCTTGGGAGTGTGGTGGTGCTCCCGCCGAGGGTTCGGATCCCACACACAGACCGGTTCCCGCTCACTGGCTGAGCGAGGTGCGGGCGTGACACTGAGGGTTGCGATCCCGTTGCCGGTCCCAGTCCGGTACGGGCGCGACACTGAGGGTTGCGATCCGTTGCCGGATACGGGAAAAAAAAAAAAAAAAAAAAAAAGAGTGGAAGGCCTGGGTTCTGGTTCTTGCTCTGAAATGTACTTCTTTTCAACCCTGGAGCAGCAATGCAACCTCCCTGTGCCTCAGTTTCTTCATCTAAGGGCTGCCCCTCAGCCTATTGCTGGTTCAAATCAGAGACGCTGGAGGAGCCAGGCTGGCCACTAGAACCCTCGATACAAACACGAGTCAGCAGAGCTCACAGGCACTGGAGGGCCCAAGGCTTTACTTTATTTAAAAAAAAAATTACTATTATTATTATTTTTTTAAAAGATGACTGGTAAGGGGATCTTAACCCTTGACTTGGTGTTGTCAGCACCACGCTCACCCAAGTGAGCCACAAGCCGGCCCCCCAAATTATTATTTTTTAAAATTCAGGAATATTTTATATTTTCAAAATATTTAGGAATTCTTTAATTAAAAAAATTAAGGCAATGGGATTATTTATCAGCTTCTAAAAGTACCCATGAATTAAATCACTCACATCCCCCCCTAAAAAAAAAAAAAAAAAAACAAAGCAAAACAAATCAAAACCTGAAATCACATTGCTGATAAGCTTTTCTTACAGTAGGGATAAGACCACTACATTGCAGTACAAAAGCCTGAAATTCGGAGCATGAAAGTAATTTATTTATTAGACATCTGGTTAATTCAAGCATTACATCTGCTGAAGATCGATTTAACAGCTCCTGCTTCACTTCAAATTTCCTGGTGGGAAAATTTGATGTTGGTAACTTGAAGAGGACAGGAGAAACCTCGTGTCTGCTCAACCTGGCAAGTATCTTTAGTGATGCAACTTTCAGAAACATTCTCAGGCACAGGAACTAACACTGCCTGCATGAGAGTCTCTGATAATCTAAGAAAAGAATACCAGCACTTATAATCTTACAAATAGGAAGAAAAATACACGCATTTTTATAAGGCCTTACTTTAAAGCTGAGACGCTGAGGGTCAAGTGTGACTGGTCCTCTGGGTGAGTAGCTGGAGCCCCGGCCCTGGGTGGCTGGATGGGGGGCACTAAATCCACAGAAAGAACCCACTGGCCTTTGCCCACCTGGCACCCCCAAATGACTCCTTTCTGATCTCCCAAATCAGAGTGTGTGGCTGATCCAGAACCTTGCCAGGTTTGCCAGAGTCCTGAGCCACTGCCCCCACCCACCAAGGCACAGGCTTCCCTGGGGGCTCTGGTCCAGAACAGAAACTCAGAGGAGGGCCCACCCCAGTGTGTGCTGGGTGCAGCCCAGAAATCCTCTTGTTTGTCACTGGCTGCTTGACCTGGGCTCCAGCAAGGCCCAGGTCAAAGTTACCCGACCTGTCCATGAGTCTCCCTACCCTGCCTCTGCCACCCACAGCCTCCCCCCAACTTCCTGGTGATTGTAGTCCTTGTTGCAATGGCACTCGTGATCACGGTCAACCCAAATGGAGCATACTTTAGAGTCCACCAGGCACTTTCACTGATATTTGGACTTCACCCCTTGGATATGGGGAGCCGCCTAAGACCTGCTGCCCCTCCTGCAGCCTTTGTGACCGGGAGTGTCGAGTGCCCACCCTGAGGGCCAACCCAGCCTCCTGGGCCCTGCAAGGGCTCAGAGTGCTGCCTCTCTACCCGGAAAAAGCAGGTGCTCCTGGGCCACCCTAGAGGAGGAGGAGCCGGAACTGACAGGACAGAGGCAGTTCCCAGCTGGCTGGACCGTCAGGAAGCCCTGGAGCTCCTGTCCTCACTTTTCAGTAACAGCGGACAGGATGAAGTGCTGCTTTCCAGGGACACAGAGCCCTTCCATTTGGGAACACGGGGGAGGGGTTAGAGAGTGGGACTTGCTGTGAAATGCCCAGCCTGTCCCTAGACCATTCTCAGGCCTCTGGGAGGAGGAACCCAGCTCCTTTCCCTGCATAACTCTCCTCCTGGCGGGGAAGGACTTGAAGAACTCAAGTTTTCCCAGCTGCGCAGTTCTGGGAGTTTCTCTCAGCCAGTGAAAGTCATGGCCCTGGGGCTTCTCTGGGCAGGGGACTCTCCTTTCGGGGCTGGGTTTCTCCCCCAGCAATTGTGGAGCTGGTGGGAGGAGGCAGCGCAATGCCAAGGAGCAGCAGACAGAGCCTAGAGCCAGTAGCCAGGGAGCCCCTTCCCGACCAGGGCCTAAGGTGAGGATGGGGTGCCCAGAGGGTGAGGTCCCCAGGGCCAGGTTACTCCCATGCCTCCATGAGCTGACCAAGCTGTGTCCTGTCCCTCAGCTCCTCCATCCCGACAGCCCATCCTCCCCCCGCAGAGCTGCCCCAGCCCAGCACCAGACACCTGGGGCATCAGCTCTCTGTCTCCCAGGGATGAGTCCCAGTGGACACAAGGGGTGGACAGATGAGCTCTGTGGGAGAGCCGTGACCCTCAGCTCTGGGAAGGGCTGTCTCTGGAGGGCAGAGGCTAACTCCCCCAATTGTCTTGGGCACAGGCGAGCAGCACAGCTGTCTCTTTAACCTCCCCCCCTCCACACCCACGAGCCCATTGAGGGATTAAAGCCTCAGAGGAGCTTAAGGAAGCAGGAGGGGGCAAATGAGGTCAAATCGTCTTCTAGAAGATGTCAGGGCAATGTCCAAATTCTCCAGTTGGGGCTGGATTTTGAGGTGGGGGCTGCTTGACCCAAATGGACCTTTTGCTAGGGCCATCACCCCTCTGCCAAAGGCCTGGCTCACAGAGGATCACAGACTGGGTGATGTGCAAGGACTGGTTTCTGTCACTCAGGCCAGAGGCTCAGCAGAGTCGCTCCTTCCTTCCCCTAAAGTCCATCATCTCTGGCCAGCCCAGCACAGTCCTTCACTGTGAGCCCCCAGCTGGAGTCACACCCCAGAAGCCAAAGACCTGAGGACACCAGGTTTCAGGTGGCATGTCACCACTCCACAGGCTTCTCACTTGCTTCTGAAGAGTTGTTCCCCCTTGGTATCTACTGGACCCCACACAGCACTTAATGTGAACATAAAGAATGCAATGGGGCCGACTTTCCATGTTCAAGGTCTCCTTCTGCAATGGGAAAGAGTTCAGCTCTCCTGCAAATGAACGGGATTTGATCCCACGGCCGCTGCACCCCTCCTGTGGCCTTCGCCCCCATCCCTCCTGGTGCAGGCCAGAAGGGGAGTCTGGTGCTCCAGCATCACACCTCTGTGTGTAGCTGAGCAGGCTGGGATCTGACCACATGACCTCACGGGCCGTGTCCGCGCTGGGCCAGCTGGCCACAAGCCTTACCAGTGCATCGATCCCAGAGAAGGTGTGGTTCGCATTGTCCAGAGAGTAGATCAGCTGGTACACCCCATCGTTGGTCTCGCTGTTTCCATAAAAACCAACGCCCACCGCAGCACTACAATTAAGACCCCAAACAAAGGTTAGAGATGAGACCCGGAGAATACTCGTGTTTATTTTTTAAAAAAATTTTTATTTTTTAGAGCAGTTTTAGGTTCCCAACAAAACTAAGTGGAAAGCACAGAGAGTGCCCATATACCCCCTGCCCCTACACATGCAGAACCTGCTGCACGGTCAAAACCCCACAGCAGAGAGGTGCCCGTCACAAGCGATGAACCTTGATGGACACATCATTATCACCCAAGTCCATACTGTACATGATGGGTCACTCTTGGTGCTGTACATTCTAAGGGTTTGGACAAATGTATAACGACACGTGTGCACTGTTACCGTACCATACAGAGTAGTTTCACTGCTCTAAACATCCTCTGAGCCCCACCTGGTCACCCTTCCCCCGAGCCCCAGCCCCTGATCTTTTTACTGTCTCCATAAATTTGTCTTTTGCAGAATGTCATAGAGTTGGAATCACACAGTATGCAACCTTTTCAGACTGGCTTCTTTCACTTAGTAATAGGCCCACTTTGGGTTACGGCAGGTCTTTTCATGATTCCATAGCACGTTTCTTTTCAGTGCTGTTGCTGTTCTGCAGATACGACCCTGTCTAACTGGTCGAAGTCATTCTTAGACTTGGTGGTTTCTGAGTGAGGCACTCACGTGCAGGCTGTCCATCCAGCCCTGAGCACAGCGGGGCTGACGCCATCGGATCCTCCACTCCCCTCCCCCCACCGACCTGACCTTGTGCCCCGGTGTCTCCCCCCCCCCCCCCCC